AGTAGTAGCAGTAGCAGTAGCAGTAGCAGTAGCAGTAGCAGTAGCAGTAGCAGTTGCAGTAGCAGTAGCAGCAGCAGTAGTAGCAGTAGTAGCAGTAGTAGCAGTAGCAGCAGTAGCAGCAGGAGGAGTAGTAGTAGTAGTAGTAGTAGTAGTAGTAATAGTCGTAAGTAGTAGTAAGTAGTAGTAAGTAGTAGTAAGTAGTAGTAAGTAGTCGTAAGTAGTCGTAGTAGTAGTAGTAGTAGTAGTAGCAGCAGTAGTAGTAGTAGTAGTAGTATTAATTAGTATTAATTAGTATTAATTAGTATTAATTAGTATTAATTAGTATTAATTAGTAGTAGTAGTAGTAGTAGTAGTAGTATTAATTAGTATTAATTAGTAGTAGTAGTACTAGTACTAGTAGTAGTAGTAGTAGTAGTAGCAGTAGTAGCAGCAGGAGTAGTAGTAGTAGTAGTCGTCGTCGTCGTCGTAGTCGTAGTAGTCGTAGTAGTAGAGTAGTGAGCCGTGGTAGCCTGAACGGGGCAGTGTCGCCCGTGGGACAGAAAAGCACGTGACCAGGGCCGAGCCAGCTACTACATGCAGTACGGCGCTCGGCGCGATTCCTCCACTGAGCGAGCGGACGCACAGGTCAATAGCGCCGGAAATGCGACTTTGGCGCCGACGTTGTTTCATGGGCCTGTCACCCTGTCACAGGCAGAGCAGGTCATTCGCGTGAGTCACCCGCCACCGTTGTGTGCCGCATCAGCGTCAGTTTCAGGAGCATGCATTTTGACAAACGGCCACATGGGTGGAACCTTGGGAGACCAGAACCACAACGACTGTCCCAGCTATAAGGCCGGTCAGAAAACAGCTTTTTCGCCCCTGGCCGCTGCAACTCGTTATGCATTTACTTCGGCGATGGCATCGGAGCGATAGCTCGGAGGCTGAGTTTGGATTTCCGATGACATGGCAACCTGAGCTCTCAACCCAACAGCCTTACCCTTCAGAGTCTGTAAGGGAACGTTGCAGGACCGTGATACCTTTTCACATTAGCTATGTTCTCAGACTGCTTGTGAGGGTGTGCCAACGGTGGGCTCTGGGTTGGGAAGACGGACTGCCACATACTTGCTGCTTAGATTGCACCATTAGCCACACATGTTTAGACCCACTCTACCTGCCACAAGAAATCAGTGGCGCCCGCTGCAGCTGTACCAAGCCCTTTAAGAAGGCCAGCCTGCGCACCGAAAATCCTTCCACAAGGTGCATCGGAGCCACTAAAGCAACTCCACAGGCAGGTGTAGTGGCAGCAACCCAAAGAAATCCTTTATAGAGACACCCGAAAACCCTTTGAAAAGGTGCATCCCTAACAAACATCAACCGTTTCAGCGTGCACGCTGGGGTTGCGCATATCGGAGCCCGGCTTGGCATGCATCCAGCCATCAAAACAAACATCAACCGTTTCAGCCTGCGCGCTGGGGTTGCGCGTATCGGAGCCCGGCTTGGCATGCATCCAAACATCAAAAACAAACATCAACCGTTTCAGCGTGCACACTGGGGTTGCTCATATCGGAGCCCGGCTTGGCATGCATCCGAACATCAAAAACAAACATCAACCGTTTCAGCGTGCACGCTGGGGTTAAGCAATCGGAGACCGGCCTGGCATACATCCAAACATCAAAAGTTTCCAACCGTTTCAGCGTCCACACGGGGGTTAAGCCATCGGAATCCGGCCTGGCATACATCCAAACAGCATCAACTTTTCGGAGCTGGGCCTGGCATGCAGCGTCTACACCGGGCGATGCGGAATGGCCGGGTTTTCTGGTTCAGTCGGAGACTATCTTTTATCAGTTGTTGTTTTCAAAAATGAGTCTCGGTGACGATGTTTGGGGGGGGGGATCAACACATCTCTCGGGTGGGTACGCGGATCTTGGGGTTCTTTCGGCCAGCGGTAGGCTCCCAAAGCCAATATTCGCTACGCGGGTCTCGAGTATATCGCGTCTGTTGTTCGAAGGTAGCCGCTTCGGCTGTGCTCTTGCAGATTGTCTTTATATTGCTTTGGAGATCTTTAGTTGCAGTTGCAGCAATGCAACAACAGAAACCGTTCGTGATCCGACGACAAATCGCACCAACAAGAAGTATTATGCCGAAAATGCAAGCGTTTGTGAGCTTTCGTTAAGTTTCGACGTTTCCGGCAACGTCACAAAAATCCAGCGACACCTTGGCGATCAAGGTTTGCGTGATGTGTATTCTGGCGCTGATGTGTAATTCCTTGAATCAGCGTTCACGGCCCTGACATGTGGTAAACCCCACCTGCCCCCGCCTGCGTTCACTCGGGGAGAGGGACACGAGACCTCACCAAACGCCTGTATTTGGCGACCTTGGATGGCAAGCGCTCAATCGAGGAAGCCACAAATTTGATAATAATTGCGATTGTGTCGCGTTGGCCCATGCGCTTACATGGTGTTTGCAAGTTCCGGTTGTGACTTCTTCGCCTTCGCCTGAACCGGTGCGTTCAAGGGTGTTTCGTAGCTTCCGGAAGGGTCGGTTTCGCCGTTCACTGTCTCCTGTACTAGCAGTGAAGTAGTGGTAGTGGTGGTAGTAGTAATAGTAGTGGTAGTAGTCGTTACTAGTAGTAGAGTAGTAGTAGTAGTAGTAGTAGTAGTAGTGGTAGTGGTAGTGGTAGTAGTAGTAGTGGTTGCAGTGGTAGTAGTAGTAGTAGTAGTAGTAGTAGTAGTAATAGTAGTAGTACTAGTAGTAGTAGTAGTAGTAGTAGTGGTGGTAGAAGAAGAAGAAGTAGTAGTAGTAGTAGTAGTAATAGTAGCAGTAATGGTAGTAGTCGTCGTCGTAGTAGCAGCAGCCATGGCCGCACATAAACAGCAGTAGTGTCGATGTCGTCAACCTTCCCCCAGGGAGGACTTTGCCTAGTCGTTCGTCTGTGAGACTGCTGGCCGAGACGAGGCTCTCAGGCAGTAGAGTGACGTCGAAAGCAGTAGCATTCCGGAAATGCCGGAAACAGCAGTGTGCACGGCCGCAGGCGTCCAAAGGCAGAGTGCCAAAGGGTTCAGTTGCCGGCCGACTACAGCAGCCACTTTGCGTCGCACCGTCCTCACACCTTAAGTGCTTCAACCCAAATCTCCCATGCGCAAAGCCCCAAAACCTTACACCCCAAATCCAAGGCGTTGAAAGCTTGAAGTCTAATGAGGTTCAGCTCTTGCAGTCTCATTAGCAGCTGGATGGAAAGAGGGTCTAAACAAGATTCTAAAACCAGATGCTGTAAACCCTCTGTTTCGGTCGCGGCCCTTTACGTTGCGGGTTCACCTTCGACAAAGCAGGTTAAATCTTTGCGGCGCTGTTCGAAATCCTTGACCTTCTTGTTGGGGTTAGGGTGTAAGAAGTCCGGATTTTGGGCTCAAGTGTAGAATTTTGTATTGAAGATCTGGTGTTAAGTAGAGGTTCCAAGTTCAGGCTGACTAATCTTCGTGGCGAAGTGTTTTCGTACTCCAACGGATTGGGCGGTATGATCCCTTCGTGTTCCGGTGCGTGCGAAGTGCTGGTCGCCAGACGGGCCGTCAGACAGGTTGGCGATAATTTTTAAAGCGAGCAGAAAAGTGGTTCGTCATTGGCACGCAAGTTGTCAGCGCATGCGGTTTGCAGTGATGCTTGTGAGAATTCAGAAGGTTGGTGTGTGGCTGCAGGTTGAAGCCGTGGTCTATGGTTTTGGCAATAGCAGTGCTTGAAGCTCAGCTGTCGACATGTCACACGGCCGAACCTGCAGTGATCAATCTTCCAGGTCGTCACTGTGGTTGGCTCGTGTTGGATCCCAAGATGTAGCGTGAAGTGTGTTGTGCTTATGTAATCGGGGCTCTTGCGTATCACGAGGATGCCGCACCAGATTTCGTTGCACCTCCCCGCACGTGGCTTCACGCTGCCTGCAGCTGAGAATCACGTTTCACATTGGCATGCACACAGAAGGAGCGGTGGTGCGCTGCCAGAAGATCTCGCAGGGCCGGTCGGATCATATGACAAGGATTTGTTGAAAGTTTCCCCGTCATGAGGACCGCGAGCAACATGCGCAAACACTTTTGGCCAGCCAGACGCCGCCTTACAGATCACTGCATCGCAGCAATCACAACATCATGCGTGCACTGCCGTGGCATGTTCGTGTTTGTGTGTGCGTTATGGCGATGTCGTTTCATGGTTATATTGCGATGAATGTAGCGGCTCATGTTCATGCGGTTCAGGCCGCCACGAGACGTGACAGGCCACCCTCACGTCACACATGGGATGCGTGTGTGTTCCATGTGCCGCCAGCGACACAGTCGGAAGCACACGGTGCAGTGTCCAGGGTTGTGGTGACAGGTTCGTTCTCGCCATTGCTCAGCCATCTCCTGAGTACTGCAAGTCGCGCTGCAGGTTGTCGCTTCCGTTTACTTGTAAAGTATCCAAGTATCAGTTTGGGTGGTAGTCGCGCGGGTCTGCCTGGCCTGTGATACGGCCTCAAAGTGATTGTGTTGCTGGTTCCCTATGGCAACCCGTTCTCAGGAAGAGCTGGTGCTGAGGGCGCCCAAAGCGAAGTCTGGAGCTTTGGATGCCATGCAATTGTAGGACACAGTTCTGGGCTCTTGCATATGAGCACGTCAATCCATGCAGGCATGACAACGATACAGAAAACACAGAGTGTGGTCGAGCTGAGGTCGTTGAGGACCGCTCCCAGCTGGTCCAGGACAACTGGGGTCATCTCTGCAACTCACTACCCGTTGTCGTACCAAACATCCCGAACATTCACGAGTTCTTGCGGTGTTGCTCGTGTTGATGGGTTGAGCTGCTCACGTACCAGGCGTGGGGCGTATTTGGTGTAGTGGCTTACCTTTCCTACGGTGTGGCCAAAGTCGCCAGGAGCCCGGGAGTGGGCTTGCGAGTTGACGGGAGCACATGTCCTGCTTGACTGTGCTTGATGCATTCCACAAGGTGCCTATCGTGCTGGATGGATTGGGGGCCATCGAGGCACGCGGCTACTGAACATGTGACGGTGGGAAGCCGGTGCTTGCCAGGAAGTCTGGCAATGGGCTCTGTTGGCAGTGACGCTGCTCTTCTTCGCATATGTGGAGGCTCGGCACACCAACTTGCTTCGTGCATCCAGCTTTGTTGACCAATCAGAATCATCACGGAAGTCTGCTGAGCGAAACCAACTTGGATTCGCACATGCCGACTTGCAAATGCCGTCCTCAGCCAGAAATCGGGTTTGAAGGTTTAGAACCGACAACCTAAAATAACCCTAAAACCCTAAACCCCTAAACCCTAAACCCCTGAACCTCAAAAGTCTGTCCAGGGCTACCGGGGGTTCCAGCTCGGCTTCTCCCCGCGTGTCGTGAGCCGCGCGTGGGTCGTCTCGGAGGTCTGCAGGGCGATGGCTTAAGGTCTGCAGTTTAGGTTTTAGGGTTTAGGGTTTAGGAGTGTAGAGGGCTTAGGTTTCAGGTGTAGAGTGTAGATAGGAGATGATGGAAGTTTCAGGTCTAAGTTTCGGAGGTACTTGCAAGGATTTAAAGCTTTAGGGTTGCAGATCTTTGAGGGCGGCTGTTGGCTCGTAGTGATCCCGCAGCGTGTTTCATTCCTTGATCGGTCCACGCTCATGGAGGATCCCTGGTTGATATCCCCGTCCCTGAAGTAAGCAAGTTTCATAATTTGCATACCACTGCTGTATGCGCTTGAAGAAGGCGGTTGAACAAATCAGTGTCTGCCTTGGTGCACCCTCGTGGTGTGGGCTCCAGAAACTATGAAGAACAGATTCTGTACCAACATCGAAACAAGTCGAAACGCTAGGTCGCTAGCTTTGCGAGGCAGGATGAAAGGAGCGTGGATGCTAGACTGTTAGACGCTAATTGGATTCCATGAGCAGTGTGGAGGGGGTTTTGCAGAGCCTGGTCCTGGACCTGGTACGGTTTCGGTTCGGCTTTCAGGCTCCCGGGCTCGAGATACGATTTCTAGCATGAGCTGCAACGTGTGTACGTATGCGTAAGGTCCAGATAGTAGGATTTCAGGTGTCGGGTGCGCGGTTGTTAGTCAGCCACCCCTGCAAACCGAGATGAATCTAGCAACGGTGCATGTCCTGGTTGGTATCATTTCCCACTTGTTCTCATTATGTGCGAATTTTAATCAGCATTGCCGCAAGCCACGCCATCGCCACCAGAAGCAGAAGCACCGCAAGCGCGGATCTTCTATGGCAAAGCAGCATCGGCCACGTCGGCGGCGTCAGCAACGCAGCAGCATCAGCAGCGGCCACCACTTCGGAACCATCACCACTGTGAGAGCATCCTGGTCCTCTTCCTTTCAAATAATTAAGTTGGGACATCTTTAGGAGATTGGGGTAGTGCGGTGATGTCTTCGTCTTACAAGTGATTGCATCGACCATAGTTGGCACTGGTAACTCGAAGGAATCCAACGTGACTCTTGCCTGCAGGAAACGTCCGAAGCTCCGGTGTGGCACAAAGTGCTAGCGGTGGATCCGCCATGCTTTCTCAATATGAAGGAACCTTAAGGATCACGATAGTCATAAGAAGGAACCTTAAGGAATAGTATGGCAACTCTTCAGGCTCATCTTTCTCAGCCGGTTTGATTTAACCTTTCGTAGAGACCGTTGCCGGGCTGCCCATCGGCCCAGATGGTTTGTCTCGCTGGGTAGGGCCCTGCGGTACAAACAAGAACATCGATCACTCGCAGTGCTCAGTCACTACACGACTATTTTGCAACGGTTCGCAGCGCAAGGCCATGTTCTAGATGAGTCTGGGTTCGGTTTGGGGTTTGTGCGGATCGCATGTCGGCTCAGGCATTCACTGCTAAACCCTGAACCACAAGTTTAAGTGCCGGTAAGTGTCATACCTCTTGGCCAGCCCGCATTCTGCATCGGGTACTTCCACGGCACTAAGCGGCGTGTGATCACCAGCTGGGCTGCTGCTCAGCCGCAGAAGTTTGGATTTCGGGGTTAGCTTGTGGCTTAGGGGTTCAGGATTTAAGCTCAGGGTTTTTTTTGTGGCTTTCGGTTTATGGTTGGTTGTTTGGGGCTCTCGGTTTGGGGTTTTCAGTTTCGGGCATAGGGTTATGGTGTTGTAGCACTGCAAGTTTCCGACTAAACGGAAGCCTAGTGACATAGAGCAAGTCAACGGAAGCCGTTGGACATAAATGAGGGATCTCTTCGTGCCTCAGAAGAGTGATTAGTTGGGAGGTGTAGAGGGGCCGGGAGCAGCCATTGCTGCAACCCTGTGCTCCTTGGCAATGACAGCTCAGGTCACAACAGTTATCTTCGCCGTCGTTATAGGCCTGCGCCGAACTGCAAATCCACGGCAGGGTTCTTGTGCACACATGATGTGCAGATGCTTCTGTCCATGTCTCAAAAGCTCAAGTCTCCACTTCTGGTCCAGCTCCCACGCAGATGCACAGGCGTCAAGCAGCTGGACAACCCCTACAGAGCCATTATCGACGCTGGCGTCATCGTGGGGCTCAGCCTCTCAGCTGCGATCATCCAGCCTCTCGCAGGAGCAGTAGACCGTAGACTGAACGCGGACGAATGCAGTGACGGACCATGCACAATGTCTACAACCTATCACAGAACCATAGAATCACAACCATGATAAGAAAAGCCAAGAAGTTAGCCCAAGATCGCACGAGTACCAATTTGCAAGCGCAGTAGTAGATGTTGCCCGGACATATCCGATTATCCGGAAGTGGTGATCGCGACAGAACACAGATTCCAAAACCCAAGGCCCCACACTATAAAGCCAAAAATCGATACCCAAAGCTCCAAACCTGAACCCTCCAAGCCGTGGCAGTGTGGGGCATCCTGTCCATCATCGTTCTCTACATCGCTTCGTTGCAAAGCCAGAAGCCCCCCGAGTACGATCCGGTTCTCCCGGTCTCGCTTGCTGTCGAAAGTTTTGGGGTTTAGGAGCTTTCGGGTTTAGGGTTTGGGGTTGAGGGGTTAGGGCTTAGGGTTTTGGGGTTTAGGGCTTTTGGGGTTGCAGGTTTCATGGTTCTTGGCTTCAGTAGAGGCCACGGCTTCGGGAGTCGGACCTCGGCCACAGGTTTTTTTTTGCAAGTGCTGCAGTGAGTTTCGGGGACTTCTTCTATGAGCTTTGCAACGGCTGTTGAATGGTTGCAGATGGGTTTTGCACGGTTTTTTGGTAGGGGGAGGGTCTAGGCTATGGGTCATCCTTCTCCAGCCAAAATTGGCTGCTTGGTCCCTAAACCCTAAACCCCATGTTCTGCGACCGCACGGAGCGATGTACGAGGCGGAGGATTAGAAGCCACAGCTCTTCGTCAGAAGCCTTCAAAACCCTTCCGAATAGATCTACGAGCAGACTCTTGCATGCATCTTCCCGTGGCCCCTGACCCTGGTTTGCAGTTCGATAGTGAGTCGCCTAAATTTCTTGAGCACTAAGTCACTAGATCCAAAACTTCAATACCCACTTCTTGCCGCAGCTGCTTAGCCTTGCTCCGTGCCCGGTAGAGTCGACGGCGCACGCTGCATTTCGTGCCACTGCCCCAGTTTGTCAGACCCTGCATAGTCTGTGGAACAGAGCGGCACCGGTCTACGATCAGGTAGCGCCGTTCCAGCAGCAGGTGGTGGTGGTGGTGGTGGTGGTAGTACAAGTAGCAAAAGCAGTAGCAGCAGGAGGAGGGGCAGGCACAGCAGAGTAGCAGTAGGATTGGGAGCATTGCTAGCTATACCCAAAGCAGGAGTACAAGGAAGCTGGAACAGCAAGAGTTTTTCAGTAAGAGCTTTCATCAATGCATTTGTTTGAACCACTTGATGCCCCAGGCCTCTTCGTGGCGCCCTCGACGCTAGACCCCTAAACCCTAAACCCTAAACCCTGAACCCGAAACCCTAAGCTCTTGTCCCAGGCCATTCGTTTTACCATGCGCGCGGTCGCAGTAGCGGCCCTGGCTGCGCGGATTGCATCGGCCGGAGATCGCTTTCTACAGGCGGCAGCCCAAGCCGAGGAGCTCAGGGTTTGGGTTGTCTTGCTGGGCGCCTGCACGGTCATGCAATGTCCTGCAGAAGTTTCTTGTCCATTTCGAAATAGAAGTATGTCTCTCACATATCTACAGCTTCTGCATGGCTGCCGACCTCGATGAGGAGCCTGCGAAGAGCTTTCTTCCCGTGGCGCCCAGCGATCTTTCAATTGCCTCAGCCTGCTCCGCATATCCGAAGTGCGTGGAGCGCGGTCTGACAGATGGCGCATGTTGCCCCAGTGCAGGACAAGGGGCTTGTTCCTGCGGCTCGTGTCAAGGCATAACCATGTACAACTCTCAGTCCTCCATACTGACGAAGGCATGCATCGTTTTGGGGGTAGAGCATGTCCTGTTGCGAACGTGTTAACATTCGCAGTGCTGATCCAGGCAGGATCAGGCAGTTTTAGATTCAGGCAAAGGAGCACGAGGAAGAGGCACACGGAGGAGGAGCAAGACTCGAAGCTCATCAGCCTTCTAGATTACCAGAGCAAGGCAGAAACTTAGCTTTGTCGTTGCCGGCTGTCGGAAGAGGTTGCGGGGTCATGAGCTTTCCCAATCCTTCCCATACCTGGAGTCGTCTTCATCACCGCCCAGGATGCGTAATTCGGTTCCCAAGCGTGCTCGTTCTGTTTGGAAGGCTGCCACTGAAGCCTTGGGAGTATAGTTTGCCAGCAAGCGAGACCACCCGTGTGAGACCACCTAGATCACCCAAATGGATGATGCCTGCCAGCAGAATCATGGGATGGCACATGTCCGGTCAAGGCGAGAATATCTGATTCACGGCCCATTTGATGATGACTTCCCAGAGAGCCCAATAGCCCTTAATTAAGGAATATACCTTAAATCGTAATATTAAGGCCCCTATAATTTAAGGCATATTCCTTATTTATGGGGTATTGGGCCGTCTGGGCTTATGCCTTAAGGATGCGAAGGTAGCAGAAGGGGGGGAAGACTTGGGAGCCTTCGTGCGAGGACCGGATGGTCAGCAGCTGGACTGCTGCGAGGGCGGCCCATCCGCTTGTTCTGCCTTCGCTGCTTGCGTTTCGGAGGCTGGGAGCGGTTCCGTTTGGCTTCGGGTTGAGGGTTTAGGGTTTTGGATTTAGGGTTTTGGGTTTAGGGTTTAGGGGATGATTTTGGGATTGGGTACCATATCCACCTGCTGTTCCTTCATGCTCTTGGGTTCCTGTAGATGGTGGTGTCCTTGGATTGCTTCTTTGATGATTCAGAACCTCTCAAATCGGCCTCGGAGGATCTGGCACATTCCAATAGAAGTAGGGCGGAGGTTCGAGATTTTATAGGGTGATGGGATTGGCATTCCTTCCTCGTCCATTGATACGGATGCCAAGATCGAGAAGTTTCCATCATCAGGAGCAGTCAAACGACTCCTCAACAAGACAGGACTCAGACGGAAGACACTGAGACAAACAAGAACGCCGGTTCAATCTCAGCACTCTTGGTACTTGTGAAAGTGTTCTTTCCCGCCACCCGCCACCCAGAGAGCCCAATACCCCTTAAATAAGGAATATACCTTAAATTATCAGAAAGGACTGTTGTGAGGTGTAACTTTTCAGGTATTCAGGCGTCGGATGCTNNAAATTATAGGGGGCTTAACATTATGATTTAAGGTATATTCCTTAATTAAGGGGTATTGGGCTCTCTGGGCACCGCCTTCAGGGCCACATCTCGGGCATCTGCTGTGCAGCGGGTGCAGAATTGGACTGCTGTCAGGCTCATGTCCGATCATAAGCGGCTTAAACAGGTGCCCACTTTCAAAAGCCACAGGATCAATCCCGATCAATCCTATGAAGCTTTCTGCATTCATGCTGCAGCTCTCAGTTGAGCCGCTTGAAAAGCTTTGGGACATCGCAGCGCTTCGCAGTCTGGGGCAAGTTTAGAGTTCGACGGTTCTACACCATCTTACGGGCCTCGGTGGAGCCCTGCACCCTTATCAAACCTTGCAGAAAACCAAAACCGGAATCCCGAAGACCGAACCCAACACCCAACGACTGTTCCAGAAACCCTCAACCGGAAGCCTACACACAGTGACGGTTAATCTGAACTTTGTGTCCTACAGCCCTCAGCGGTAAAAATCCAGACTCACTGAAGTATGGTTGAATGCTTCACGAAATACTGGAAACACTCAGTTTAAAAACCCGGAGCGAACCTGAAGAAAAGCCTTTCTACACTAATATTATAATCACCGTTGTAAAGCCAACACAAGCACACATTACATCCATCTCGCATATATATATATATGTACATGCATGCATGCACACATACACGCATGCATGCATGCATGCATGCATGCATACATACATAATCATACATAAATACATTTATTTTACACACACACACACTCTCATTCAAAGTTAACCCGGCTTAAAAGCGCACGAGAAGAATCCCGCCCAAAGCTTAAATCCTACGCAGGAGAAGCCCACGGCCTGCTCCGCTTACCCCCGCTGCGTCGCTGCGGGCCTCACGGAGGGCGCCTGCTGCCCCTCAGAGGTGGGCGAAAGGGTTCTTCAAGGAACGAGAAAGGCAACAGCTTGTGGCAGGATGATGTTTCTGATTTTCACCACGATGGTTCATGATCAGTGGCCGCTTCGTCAGCAAGCGTAGTGGCCCGGTGGTCAAGACTCATTCCAACGCCGGCATCATCACCACCGCCATCATCATCATCATCATCATCATCGTCATTATCATCCTCATCATCACCATCTTCATCCTCACCATCATCATCAATTTTTCGTCATTTTCATCATCAGTTTTCGTCATGCTCATCATCAGCATCTCATGCTCATCATCTTCATTTTCATTGCAGTCACCCAATACACCACCGCCGCCACTCCCACTGTAGCCGCGATCACTGCTGCAAGCATCAGCAATATTCTACTCGATGTTGTTCATCATGATTTTCTTACCCGCATCATGAGTACTACGAGTGCCACAAGCATCATCATGACATCAACATCATGACTGGTATCATCATCATCATCATCGTCCTCTTCCGCCGCCGCCTGCTCAGCATTGTCGCGATCATCATCATTACCATCATCGCCCTCACCAGCTGAAAGCTTGCAGGGCATCTACCTGGACTGCTGCCGGGATAAGGACGAGGACACCAGCGAGCCGGCAGATGTTTCGAAAGGCACTGCGAAGGATTGCTTCAGACACATCGTCAGCAGCAACAGCCAAATCACCAGCAACTGCAAGCACAACAGTAGTGACACCAACATAGGGCATCATCACAGCCAGGCACACTCCGCCAGATCACGGCACGCGAGACCACACCATCCTACAGTCACTACAGGCACTACAGCCACTATCACCAACATCAGTCACAAGAACAGGACCCACGAAGCCAACACAGACAGCGACATCAACAACTGTTTCGGACAAAGATCTCGAACGTGGACGGCCAGAAAGACTTCCGAACCATCGCCCCCTCCATATCACCACGCGGCTCAAGACATGCCCATGAAGCGTAGGGTAGGCTCCTTCTCCAGACCCCAAGCAGCGATCCGCCTTTAAACCTTCCTTAGGTCCATATTATGCCTTGAAGCATTAGGGGCTTTCTTCCATAAGTGGTAGTATATACACAGCCTAGACCCTAAATCAACCCTAAAGCGCTAAAGGTCACAAAGGCCTTGCGGCCCTAAGCCCCAAAGCCTAAATCCGCTCCTTGCCAGGCAGCGCTTGTGCAGCCTTTCCAGCTTGCGTGGACTTGAACCTGACGGCAGGAGCCTGCAGAAGTTGGGGTCTACCCTAGTGCCTCGACCCTAAACCGTCAAACCTCACATCCCGAAGGCCCCCCCTAAGCCCCTACAATGAGGTGTTTTTGGATGCAATAAGCCAGCTGGCGCACCAGAAGGATTAACCTGGATCTTGGGGATGTCAGTTGGTCGGTCTACGCTGGTGGGTGGCCTCGGCCGAGAGGTTAGAAGGCTTCGAGCTTCGGTGGTTGACGACCAAACTTTGAGGGTATTTGCCTCGTTCTTGTCATGGTGCTCACTGTCGTTGTTGTTCATATCGCTACAAATAAGAATCGTAATTGTCTTAGTGGTCGTCATGAAAATGAGCCGCGACGGGCCGAATATTCTGCGTACTCGGCTCTGTACGTGCTTGGCTGTCGCTTCTATTACTGTTAGCTTTCTTCAGCCACAGATGCTGATAGTAATGGTGTGACTATATCGAGTGTGGGTCATTCGTTGAGTCCTTCCAAGAGGCTCGATAGCAACTAGCCAACGAAATCTAGTTCAGTCTGTGCATGTGCGCGACACCACCGCGCATGCACTGACTTTCGGAAGTGCTGCAGGGCCAACCGACATGCCGCCTAAGGCCTAGGTGTACACCTCTGAAGGTCTAGCTGCCGGGCAAAATCATGCATCCCCACTTTTGAAGGAGCATGCTGCCCAACGCTTGACAATGTCACCCTGGAGTGTTGCTTGGCCCGGAATATATCTTGAGAGCCCCGGCATGCCGCACTGTTACAGAAACAGTCTTAGCTAAGAACCCTGAAATGCAGTTCCCCTAAGGCCCCCCCGGAACCCGAAGACTGTATGTCCCAGCATCCATCACCCGCAAAAAGCCCTTCAGTCACTTTGACCCTGGATCCAGCACCCTGTATTTTTAAGGCCTTTTCCTTGTTCAGGCATTGGTTTAAGTCAAAGGACAGCATCTAGAATACAATTTTACCACATGCCCCTGTTGCGGTTTTTCTTATAAGAGTTCTAAAACCCGGGCCCAGAAAGGCTTAACGTCTACGGTCAATCCGGAGGTTGCTACAGCGGCCAGTACCTGCCCATCGAAGAGCAACCGGACCATTTGGGTTGTCAGGGCCCACTTTTTGCTTTCGGGAGACCTTTCAGATTCTATAGATAGTGTGTAGAGGGGCGCTAAGTGTTGGTATGTAAACGGAAATGTAGGAACCTGGAGATCGTTTTTGTTTCGATCTGCCTTGGGCATCATGGGCCTGGGGAGTTTGGGACATGGCTGACCCCCTCGAGCTTCCGGAGGTTTGCGGTGGATTTTCGGATGGGAAGGTCGGCAGCTGCAATGACCAAAAGTCTCAGGGTTTAGGGCAGAAGGCTCTGCAACTACCCAGATATGTATGACTGTATTGCTCGACTTTTGCAGCTAGCTTTACGGGAAACCTGCAACCCCAAACCTCGTTCTGCTGGCCAAGAAGGACAGCGACGGGCCGAACAGCCAGGAAGAAGATGCTGACGTTAGCCGCGGCCTAAGACACCGGAGGAGGTTTCAGCCAAGATTTGAGTATGCAGGCAGGGCATGTGTGGTTCTGGGTGTCGCGAAGAACATTCATTGATAGTCCCGGTCAATAACTAGAGCATGAGCTTTGAACGACGAGCTTTACTCAGCTTGCGCTTGACAGGCCCTCTCCGACCAGGGTCAATGTAAACTAGACTAAACGCACGAAGCACAACGCCACTAGCAACGATCGCGATGAGCAGCGGAATTCATGGCAGCACCTATGCTTGTCGGTACAACAGGTTTAACATTTGTTCAGAGTGATAGTTGTGATCGTGTTGGTGGTGGTGATAGTAGTGGTGGTGGTGGTGGTGGTGATGGTGGTGGTGGTGGTGGTGATGGTGGTGGTGGTGGTGGTGGTGGCGGTGGTGGTGGCGGTGGCAGTGGCGGTGGCAGTGGCTGCAGTGTGGAGGATCATTCAACTCCTACTCCTACTCCTGCTAGTACTCCAACTCCCACTCCTACTTGTCCTGCTCCAGCTTGTGCTCCTCCCCTCACTACGAGCTACGGGTACTTGTAGTACTATCTACCAGTACTTGTACCCCTGCTTTGACTACTTCATCCGCTGTTGCTACTATTACGACCACGACGACGAACACGACGACTACTATTGCTACTGCGACGACGACGACGACGACTGCTACTCAGCCACTGCTACTCCTGCTGCTGCTGCTACTACTGCTGCTGCTGGTTCTGCTACTGCTGCTACTGCTACTGCCGCTACTACTAGTACCACTACCATGCTACAACTTCTACCACTACCGCCACCACCACCCCGTCCACTAGCGAGGTCTATAGCACAAATCATAGAATAGCAAACGACCGGCTCCTCTGATAACACCTGGCAGGTCCGGTGCAAACCTCTCCGGGAGAGATTTGATCGAATGCTGGCATCGCCGAAGTGTCCACTGCGTTTCAGTCAGGTTCCATGCCTCACGAGTCTCTAATGCCCTGCATAGTATAGTCTAGCGATCCACGAGCAGGACCTGAAAGCCATAACCCCGAGACCCGAAAGTTTGGACTCTTCTGAGTCTGTCTGCTGGCCTGAGCTGCTCGGAGACCAAGGGGAGCTCAGCTCCACGGCAACCCCGGAGCCTCTTGAAGTGTCCTTGGCCGCCGAATCCCAAGCCCTGAACCTGGCTCCAGTTACTTCGGCCGGTCTCTCCGACATGTAAAGACACGTTGTTCAGAGCTCGGAACAGAGCATCTTAATTCGCTGCATGCCCCACGGGAAAGCGCTAGCCAGGCTGTGAAATGGGCCGACCTACCAAAGGCGATAGTCACAATCCTCGAAGTCGCGGGGGCCTCGAACCCGAAGGCCTAGACCGAAAACTCTCTAAGCATTTTGCAGCAAAAGTCGTTCCGGCGAGGCTCCAAGGCGTAGCAGGAGGCGTGCCCTTTAAAAGGCTTGGGAGAGATGCACGAAACCCATGGAGCATCTGAATCGAATGCTTCAACTACAGCACCTCGCACAGCCGTAGCCACATCTGCAAGACCCATGCTCCAAACTGAATCAAAAGGTTTAGGGTTTAGGGTTCAAGGTTTAGGGTTTAGGGTTATCGACGACCCTAAATTCTTAAGCCCTAAACCCCAAAAAGCATCAAAAAGCCCTGAGAAGCTTGACCGTGGCCTTACTTTTGTCTTTCGCCCTGCCGTGGACCGACACAGAGGTGCTCCGGGGCAGTCGCGCCAACAGCGTCGCACGCGAAGTTCTCCCGAAATTCCAGAGGCGTAGGAGGTGTTAACGAGCTTTCAGGCTTTACAGTGCTTTACGGGGCTTCTATACGGGTGTGATAAGGGTTTCCTGCACTCACACCCTGCAGTGGGTGTGTTTCTCTTTGTGGAGACCCGCTCCGCTGGAACATCGGCAGACAAGAAGATGGATGCACAAATCCTGGCGTCTGCTCGCCCGTCCCTGCTTCAGAAGACAGCTTGGGCAAAACGGAAGGGGAAGCTGTGTCGTCCAAATCTGAACTGCTGACCTCTTCTACTCTCCAAGTCTTGGCCTCGTTCTCGCAGCCAGGCGTTGCCAGAAGATACGCCTTACACACCGCCGCCGAACATCTCCTGAAGCTGAGAACCTGCTGAGTGTGTGTAGCTTACGACAGCATCGAGCGCAGGGGTTGAGATTTGATGTGTTATTTCACTGCAGTCGGAGCATTTCTACACCCCGGAATGTTGTGGCAAGTGTGCTCGATCCGTCACGAGAACTCGATTTTCGCAGAGGCCGCTTTCAATGGCTGCATACAACATAATCTAGGAATTCATTGCTTCGCCGGTATTCTTGCGCGGAGCCTCGAACATGATTCAGAAACAACGCGGCGACAAGACTAGAAAAAACATTGAATTTGCCTCTAAGAAATTATTTGATATCTTACCTAAGCTGAATTCTCGGAATCTTAAAGATCCCCAAAAAGAAGATCAACGATTTTCCGATTTTATAAAATACCGAAATATTGATTCATTCATTATATTTCACTAGTCTTTGTAGATACATTTTTGGAAGAGTGACGATGTTTGATTTCTTCTTGTTGAACTCCCAATCCCAATCCATGTCTGCAGGCCAGGTTCCACTTGAAACCCAGACGCCATTTTTTTCATTCGGCTTCTTGTCAGCTTCTCCAGTAGTCTTGGCCACATCCTACAGCCTTGCGGCAAGGAATCATGAGGGAACATAGAGAATCCTTCCACCACCTGCGTGTGATGTCTCCATCTTGCCGTTGAAAGATCTAGGATCTTTGAGCCTCCAGTCTGACTTGAGAGCTCGATGAACACATTGCGGCAGGCTTGGCAGGCCGTCCATCAAAACCGTGCCTCTTCGTCACGCGACTCCAGGGGGTCCCTGAAACTGTGGGAACCGAGGCCCCAAAGCTCATTCTCAATCCTGCAATGTTTGTATTGTAGATGACAGGTCTCGTCTCTTCACTCTTGGTGGACGTCTCTCGCATCTGTCTGGTTTCATGCAGGATGGAGTGGTAGCTAGTCATCCGTTAACGGAAGCTAAGAACCAACAAGAAACTGAAATGAAAAGAAGAACACGCATGCTCCCACAAGGGTTGCTTACCACGCCCTCTGCAGCGATAAGTCCCGTGGTCTCTTGGTCGACAAGCCTGCATAAGCTTCATATTCTCATGTACTACCCTGCCTTGTAGGCCTTTCTGAAGGCTACGGTCCCTGGCGACTTTCATGCCTCCTTATCTGAAGTCCTTGGCATAGGACAGTTCGTTTCGGTTGGCAAATGCGGCATCCAGGCTGCCCTAACGCAAGGCGGGAGTGCATTCAAACCATAAATGCTGGCCTGCCGAACAATTGTTGAAACTCTCAATTCTGAAACCTCTGCCGTCAACAGTACATCTGAGGACTGTGCCGCATTTCCAGCTGGCTCTGTTTTGTGGGTCATGTGACGCACATATTGGGGAACAAAGAGAAACTACTGGCCACGTGAGATGACTAGAGAAATTGCTGCTCGCGGCGTGTTGGAGCTGGCTCAGATAAGATGGACATTCGCTGATACGAGACATGTCGGCCAGTGACCGGGGAGTGCGTTCAGGATGCCGTTTCTCGTGCAGGCCTACGCTGCCTACACTTGTTCTGGGCTCGGGCCAATGACCATGATCCCTACTTCGCTCTTGGAATCTCTGGGTGGCAATTTCTACACCCCACATCCTCAGCACCAGGGCTGCACTCTAAGCTGACATACAGAACTATTCTCGGAACCTTTGGAGGAGCTCGGAGGCACCGTCAGGCGCTTGGCGGCCCGGGACGCCGAACAGTTCGGTTTCCTTGCAGCGGCGCCTGAGAATCTTGAGCTTAGATAGGGTGCCATGTTCTTGGATACGAGAGCCTGTAGCAGGTCTGCATGTGGCCTTGGAGTTTGGGATTCCAACATGGTGTTGCTAAAGCGCAATCTAATAATGTAGACTAGGCTGCCTCCTGTTGCAAAACCAGTTTTCCTGGCCGCATGTGCCAGGAGAGAAAGAACAAGCGCCTCTTAATGTAGTAAATATCGTCACCGGCACATTACATGGACTCCAGAATCCTGGCACATAACTTTCATATTGCAGATCTTGAGCCCTACAAGTTCTTGCTATTCAGGCCACGACAGCATCATGACACAGTTTCGCAGTCTTGCGGCCCTTGGCCCCAAATCATGAGGTTTTTCAGTGCTTAGCATATCACCCGCAGCCGTGGGTTTTACAGACACCTTGGAGGCCCCTGAGCTTAGGGGTTTGGGAGGTTCTTTGGCTTGCCATGGTGCTGCCTTTCATTGCTGGAGTGGTTGGAGCTGGCTTCCTCGGCGACAGGGCCCTAAAGGCTCGCATCCGCCAGTCGGGACAAGAAGCCCGCGGCGTCGTCACCCACATGGGCAACACCACCGACAGGCTCCTGGTGAGGTTCCGAGACATTGGGGGGCAGATGGTGGATGCCACGATCGAGAAGGTCACTGACGGCTTTCAGGTGATGGCGGAAAACCTGACGCAGCACGCCCAGGTGATTCTGGAAACTGCCGAGGAAAAGGTCCGCTTGGCCATCGCATCGGGGGTCGAGGGGGTGCAGCAGATCCTGCGTGTCGACGTTCCTCTCAGCGCCAGATTGGGAGGCACTGGCCTGGTGCTGGGCCTGAGGGACGGAGTTGCGCTTGCTTTGGGAGGCATTCCGGGAATCCAAGTCGCTGAGACCGTGAACAACTACATGCGCTCACCTGACAAAACGCCCCGGGACATCATCGACTTGCTCGTAAGGCAGGGCCAGGGCTCCCAAGACCAGATCCTGGATTGCTACTTCATGGCCTTTGACTTCTACGGCAAGTCGACACTCGATGCGGCGACTGCGTTCTTGTGGCAATTCTGGATCCTTGTGGCAGCCAAGATGCACGCACCTCCCGACAACCGAGGTTACCTGAGGCAGGCAGTCTTTCGACGGAATGCGTGGCAGCGTTTCCGAGATAACATGAATCGCCACAAGCTCACCGACCGAGCGCTCGCTATCGTGGAAGTTTTGCCGGAGAGCACAGGCGCGGTGCCGGAAGAGTTGCAGGAGCAGCTGGCAGACACCGTCTACGAGGCCCTTGCCTTGCAGCAAGCCAGCCGTCCCGCACTGCCTGCAGTGCCCGCCCCAGAGCCGGCACCGACCATGATCGTGACCCCCTTCGATGCAGCACCAGTCCAGGAAGGACAGTACTACCGAATCGCGGCCAAGTGTGGAAAGGTACTGGATGTGATGGGCAACCGACTTGACAACTCCACCCACGTGCAGCTATGGGAGGAGCACCGGGATGCCAGAAACCAGTGCTTCAGCTTCCAGAAGCAAACAGATGGATACTGGTTCATCATTGCCCGGCACAGCGGCAAGGCCATGGACGTCACAAATCGCGAGACGGCGCCCGGGACTGCCATCATCCAGTACACCAAAGCTCCCAGACATGAGCGGGATCACCAGGCCTTTGGAATCGTGCCCAAACCAAATGGCTTCTTCTCAATCCGAGCCCGTCACAGTGGACTGGTGCTTGAAATCAAGGACGCTTCCACCGTCAATGGGGCCGTGTTCCAGCAAGCCGAGGAAGACGGAGGAGACAATCAGCTTTTCAGCTTCGAGAGGGTTGCTGGCCACCCACCAAATGGCTTGCCGGAGACGAAGTGGGTTGATCGTCAGGATGGAAACTACCACTTTGCGGACAATGACAGCGGCTGCCGTGCCAGCGAGGATTTAGAGTACTACACCTATGATGACCCGCATTGGCTCATGCTGGGTCACGCGCATAACAAAAAGTCCTTTCTCGTTGTGAGCGCGGCAGACCACCCAAGCGTCCGGATAGCCACCGGCTGGAAGCGGATTTGGGACGACCGGGGCGGCCGCGGCAACCGAGACTTTGGCATGTTCATCCCGCAGTGTGACGACAACCACTTCAAGGCTGTGGGAGTTTCTTGGTCTTGCATTACTATGTGATAGTACGACATCCCACTATACATTGCATTGCGGTATCTTGCATTGCCATACCTTGCATTCCGCAACGCGCGTGTAAAATGGATTAACAGACAAAAGTGCTAGCCATGGGTATCGTCCTGCACTGAGGTAGTGTGGCAGAAGGGCGCGAATCATTCGAGGCAGGAGCCCAACAGGCAGGGTCCCCCAAATCCCCCATGCTTATAATAAAGATATGGAAAACAAGAAAAGAGTCGTAACTAGTATTATATAAGGGAACCGTTATAAGTAGTATTCGTATAAAGCCCTAGCCATACCCCAAATTCAAAACATCCTCAACATGAAACCCTATATTGAGGCAACAAATTTTCGCAACCTTAAGGCCGTAAACTCCGAAGTCTTAAAGCCAGAAGCCCGAAGAAGGCAGCTTGCTGGCCGCATGGCCGTCCTGCACGAGGACATCCTGCGGACGGCCACGCTGGGTGAACACGTATGGAGGGAAGCTAGGCGTTGTCGGGGTAGGTATTGTAAGTTGTTTTTTTCAAGGTTAACGTGCTGTAAAAGAAGCCGGAGAGAGGCCATGGGCTTTCAACTTCTCGTTGTGTTACTGCGAGACTGAGGACACTGGGACTCGTGCAAAATATGACGTCACGGTGAACCGCGTCAACAATCTCGGAACTATGTGGCCCTCCCATTGCACGATGGAGTGGCCAGGTGATGCCCGTGAGATACATTTCCCCTAATCAAGCCAACTTCAGTGCCTTGAAATTTAAAGGCATCCTGAGACAAACTGTACAGCTCGGGTCTGGCAGAAAAAATCTAGAACGGTGTGTTCTGGTACAACACTTGCAAATAAAGACTGCTTCTAGCACGTTTATCTTGCTGGTAATCTTATTTATTAATCTGCCCGCACTTGTATATGTTTACTACGGGATCTGGAGAATTTGGTAGCATCGGACAGAGAGCAATCGATAGAAAATTTAGATTTCAAATTTGTATGTGATATACCATTTAATTTATTGTAATGAATCTACCTATTTAAGTCATAAGATAGAACTTGCACGACATTACGATAATTTGTGCTCACTCGTACTTTCAAATATTTTTTTAATATATAAAAATAAGTTTAATTTATATATATATATTGGAATATGAAATGAAATGAGTTGTTATGAATAAAAAAATAGATTATTTATTTTTTGGATATTGATTTTTTGATAAAATTAATTGTTTTTTTATAATTTCATAAATAAATTCTATGAAATTTTATTAATTGGAAAGATTTTTATTTATATTCTGATTGATTATTATGATTTATTATTTTAAAAATTTCTATTTAATATTACTTTAATTAGAGGAAAT